CTAAATGGAGAGGAAGCATATGATGCCATATACTAAAAACCTTAAATCAGAGATTTGCAATTCTTCAAGTTCTTATTTTTGCAAGATTTTCTAAATGTTTGACACAAAGGAAGTCAGTGAAGGGCTTTGAAAGAATACATGTACATGACCATGCCCGCTTATTTTTTTTAATTATTTTTTTTTTCACAAGATTCTAATAAAATATTTTTTCACTCAAAATGTTTTTAAGGTGATTCTGTTTTATCAGCTATGTTTGTTTTCACTAAAGTCTGTCCAAAATGAAAGAAGGCCAAAATTCATATAACAACAAAGCTATTATTGTAAAATGATGAACTATTTGAAAGTACACCTCCTAGTTTATATTTTAAGGACAATTATAAACAAAAATAAAAATGATAACAATAAGAATATTTACCTTGAATGGGCTAATTTTCTGAAGACCAAAAACATTCTGTTGCAAAGTTTTATGCACATTTCACGAATGGCAAAATCCTTTTTAAAATCTGTTTTAGTGCCAACAAAAGCTATTTTTTTACAGCAAATACAAAAATCTTTCAAAACGTAACTCCAAATAAATCAGTTTCTCATGTCCTGCTAAGCACCCGGCCTCCATTATTTTATTTTTTAAAAAGTAGTGCAAGATAGCAATCATCATTTATAGCCTTATGACATTTTACAATGTGAGCTTTGTTGTTATATGAATTTTGGCCTACCTTCACTTTGGACAGACTTTGTGCAAAACAAACATGGCTGACAAAGCGGAATCACCTTAAAACATCTTATTTTCAATAAAACAACAAAGGAAAGTTGTTTTTAAAAAAAATCATCCACATATACTATATATAAGATGTTTTAAAAACATTTTGAGTGAAAAAAAAATTATTAGTGAAAAAAGTGGGTGTAGTCATTTTCATATATACTATCCAAACCACACACTAACTGCCTGTGGTTTGGCACAATAAAATTAAACAATAATTTTGGTCCCTTAGCTGCCATATGTTATGGTAATCAAAAGAAGTAACAAATAAAATAAAATGAAAATATGTGAGAAAAAAAAGAAATAAAGATTAAGAAGTTGTCATAATTCTCAGTAATTGATGAAAATGTAGACACATTTGGTTATTCATTAGACAAAATGGTGGAAATTGATCAATCTCGTGCAAGGGATTTTGGATCTGGATTAGAAAATTTTCTATTTTTACAGCTTCTTATCTGGCTGTTATATAAATTTCTCAATGAATCTTGAATGTTTTTTGTTTCAGATCAGAATGGGCCGGTCTCAGTGTCAGCAATCCTGATGTGATATGATCGATATCTCTATGATGTCATCAGAAGTGAAGTAAATTCATCATCTTGTTTGAACAAAAACACAACTCATTTCAATTGGTAGAAAGAATGAAATAAGTCCTGAGAGGCATGCAACAACTGCAAGCACGTATGGTAAAACTGATAACAAGCCAAATTGCTGCATTGAAAGAGAAGCAAAAATGACTAGTAGAGGCATATACAAGCCAGATCACTGAGTACAGTAATTGTGAAAGAAATTTAAAAACAAAAATATTTTATGTTCTTGATTTGTGTGCCAGTAATTCGGAAAATTGTACATGGGATTTTCCTTTCAGCTGTTGATGCATTTTTACAAAACAGAAATGTTTTGTGAATTTTTTTCATAAATTAATAAGAAACAAGTATTCATTGAATCTGACGGATTTGCATTGAACAAAAAAAGACTAAATATAATGCTAGCAAATACATGTAGTTTGGGAGCCACTTTTATAGAAAGAGAAGAATCTGTCATAAGTTGTGCATTTTTATCTAAAAGTGGTTTGTATTAACACAATAACCATGGATCTACAGAGTGTTTTCAATGTGAAACCTATTTCACTTCCATATGTTTGTGAAATATGTAAGGTATCGTGTTCCAATAAAGAGACTTTGGAGGCACACATGAGAAGTCATAATGAAAACATTACTGACGGACAGTCTTACATCTGCGGTATATGCAAAAAGGGTTGTCTGTGTTTATCAGAGTTAAAGAATCACATGGCCAGTCACTCTGACGCTAGACCATTCACTTGTGAAGTTTGTTGGAAGAAGTTTAAAACACCAAATGCCTGTCATGGGCACATGCGTAAACTGCATGTTGTTGCTGGGAAATGGTTTTGTAGGGTATGTAATGTAGCCTTTGCCTCTGTAAAAATCCTAGGGATGCATATTCGTGACATGCACTGGTTTAATTGTGATTGTTGCAATGAATCTTTTCGATCTATATGGCACTTTCAAAAACATAAGGCGGACAATGTAAAAAAATGCTCTTTGCTGTGTGAAGTCTGTGGCAAATTATTCGTAAAAACAGCCAATTTTAAACTGCATCTGTATAATCACAACAGACAGAAAAAGACTTTTCAGTGTGGTAGCTGCACAAAGACTTTTTCATATCGTTTTGCATTTGTAGCACATTCTAAAAGCCATATAAATGAAACTCCATACAAATGTCATCTCTGTACTAGATCTTTCAAAACAGAAAGAAGTTTAAAACAGCACATACGTGTGCACACTGGGGAAAATTTGATTAATTGTGATCAATGTGAAAAATATTTTTTGTCTCAAAATATTCTAAAAAATCACAAGAGGAGGTGTCATCTAGTGTACACCTGAAGAGACATTAAGTTATGCTTATTTTATCACTGTCATAGTTTGCGCTAAATTAGCTACATATGAGCTATGCACGTATTTAAAAGGAATGAAATTATTTGAAATTGGCCTTTGAGTTCACTATAAGCTGGTACTGTCTGAAATGTAAAAAAGACATCTCCACTCTTTTTATCACTAATTTTAAGAGTTTTTTTATCCGAGGTAACAGATGTGACAATAAAAACAAACGATTTATCCAAAGGTCAAATTAAGGGGGACATTATAATTGATAGGCTCCATTTGAGCTGTGTCATGACAAAACCAACATAATGGGTTTGCGACCAGCATGGATCCAGATCAGCCTGCGCATCCGCACAGTCTGATCAGGATCCATGCTGTTCGCTTACAAACCCTATAACAAGTAGAGAAACTGATAGCGAACAACATGGATTCTGATCAGACTGTTCGGATGCGCTGGCTGGTCTGGAACCATGCTGGTCGCAAAGGCATTATGTTGGTTTTGTCATGACAAGGCTCTTTTCATATCATACATGTATGTATGATCCTGTATGATCCTATAAAAATGATTGGTCATACAGTGAGGTCATTCAGCATTCAAAAGCATTTACTTGCATGACGCTCTATCAAGTCTGCTCAAATGGTTATCTCGGTAGCATCTACGGCTTAAATTTTAAACTTGCCCTGTCCAGGATGTCACCTCAAAAACCACAGAGGTAACAACCAAGATATATTTATCTTGGAGCATTGTTTAGCTGATTGCTTCTTGTTAGGATTGTTTCAAATTATTGTCCTTACCTGAGCTTGGGGTAGGGGGTGGGGATGGTGCAAGTTGTGTTTTCCATGCATTTATAAAATACATTGTAACAGCTTTTGAAATAGTCTCCTTTGAACCCACACAGGCATTTTTTATTTTTTTATATAAATGTTTGCATGTATTCCTTGCATAAATATTAATGTCATTTTTAATGATTTATCTTTTATAGTAATCGGTTTATTACTGTTTACATATATGTTTACTAGTATATTGAATGTGTTTCAGTGAAATATAACATATGTTTATTAAAAATTTGTTTGTTTCAACCAAATATAACATGGTTTATGCTCTATATGTTTCTTATTGTTTTGATTATTGATAGTTATCTTGACAGATACATATTACACAATTACACCCATGGTCTTTACCCTTGCTAGATCAATTGAACTACCATTTAAATTTCTGTTTTTGCTAAATTCATGGAAGATAACAAACAATACAATAATGTAATTTTTACTAAAACTTGTACACAATATTATTTGGTGATAAGAGATTAATTATGTCTATGATATGTATATTTATTTTGTTGCTTTTGGCATTTACATGTACTGAGGTAAATAAACAGAGAAAAAACGACACACATTGCCTTGTATTTCTTACATATTTTAATATACATTTTACCTTATATAAATGTGTCGGTTCGTTTTAGCTCGACTATAAGAAGAAAAGGGACAGCTATTGTACCCACCAGGCGTCGGCGTAACACTTGTATTAAGTTTTTTTGCATGCAAGTTTTTATCTCCAAAACTACTGTAGGGAAAATGGTTGAAATTCCACACATTTATCTAAGAGCACACTGGAGGATTACTTTCAAAGACCCGTAACTCTAACATGGATTTTGACATAATTATGGCTCCTTTTGAACGTAGAAAGGACCTTTGTTTTACTATCAAGTTCTAAGAATAGTCGACCATGCTGCCCTCCTGAAAACTCTTGTTTTATATAAATGTCAGCGGGTGTTTCACGATGACGACAGCATTCAAAGACCGTTGAGCGGAACCTATTACGCGTTTTGGCGCTAAAATAACAACAAGGAATATTTACAAACCGTGCAAAATTTAGCGGCATCTTAACCACCAGGAATATTTTACCAAACGTACAATATGTTAGCTGACTGACGACGGTTTTCAGTTCACTTTACTTAACAAAAATGTTATATAACAATATGATTTTCTTCCTCGTTTATTTTTACCATTATGATTTATTAGTATGTGGTTTAGTATAAAAAAGCTCAAATAATTCGTACCTCGTGACCTTAGATTTGTTAATTGGTTGGGGTTAGCGTCGCACCAAAACAGTATATGTCATATATGACGAATTTCGAGAAATACCTCAGGTGCCCCTCCGTGCGCGACTCGAACCTTTGGTAATGAGAGGCAAGTGGTTTGATGTCAATGACCTTCACCATTCGGCCACGGACGCCCCCAGTTAGCCAAACACATTAAACGGAAGTCATTTCACTTCCATATGTTTGTGGAATATGTAAGGTATCGTGTTCCAATAAAGAGGCTTTGGAGGCTCACATGAAAAGTCATACCGGTTATGAAATCATCTTACATGTGCAGTTTATGCAAAAAGTGTTTTGTATGTATGTCAGACTTAAAGTATCACTGTGTCGTTCACTACAAGGTAAAACCGTTTACTTGTGAAGTTTGTTTGGCAAAGTTTAAAAGACTAAGTTCCTATCGAGAGCACACGCGTCTGCAGCATGTTGTTGGTGGGAAATTCTTTTGTAGGTTATGCAAGGAAAACTTTGCTTCAGTAGCAAATCTAGCTGCCCATATGCGTGAAATGCACTTGTTTAAATGTGATGATTGCAATGAGTATTTTAAATTTTTTTTGGACCTAAAAAGACATAAGTCAGATCATATTAAACAAAACTCTTTGCTGTGTGAAGTCTGTGGAAAAGTATATGCAACATCGTCCATTTTCAAACTGCACCAGTATAATCACAAAGTACATAAGATTTTTCAGTGTGGTAGCTGCACAAAGAGTTTTACAGGTCGTGTGGCATTGAAAGCACATTCTAGAATTCATATAAATGTTGGTTCATACAAGTGTCATCTCTGTAATAAATCCTTCAAAACAAATGGAATGAAAAAACTACACCTGCGTGTGCACACTGGGGAAAATTTGTTTAACTGTGGTCTATGCAATAAATATTTTCTTTCGCAAAATTTGCTAAAGAATCATAAGAAGAAGAAATGTCATCTAGTACAGTTTCATACTGTAGTGAAATTAACCCTATAAATCCTTAAATTTTATGACTGTCATATTGAGCTGTCTGAATTAGCTACATAATTTTTATTTTTTTACCTGATGCAACTGGTGTGCAAATGAAAACAACTGATTTGGCCAAGGGTCACGGGGGACATTATAACCAACAAACTGATAATACCGATTTTAGCAGCATTTCAATGGATGATATACATTTGTAGATCAGCAATCTGTTAATAATAAAAGCACTCCGAAACATTGCAATGTTGTTTTCTGAAGGATATTGCTAGTTATTTCAGGGAATCATGAATTATTTGTGAAAGATAAAAGTTACTGGCAAAAATTTTAAGGTATTTAAAATGTTATTCACAAGTTAATCACACTCACTTTATTTTACTCTTGAATAGGCATAATGCCACTTTGCATATTGTCTTTTATTTTACTCCAGCGTGTTCATGTCACTTTGAAGGCACATTATGCCTAAGAAATCTGTATTTTTGTTTATTCTTAGATATGTCAAACATGTTTTCATCTTTATGATAAATGATAAATTTTTGGAAACTTGAACAAGATACTAAAGTATAAAGTCTTTGAGAAATAAAACATAGAGTGAGACTAAATAAAGTGTTGGAGCACCGCACTCAATAAGTCAATACCATATTCTGGTTTATACCGGACAAGGGGCTTGGATGACTAAATACTAAAATCTCGCCTTTAAATCTACCAATATGCACTTATTAGTCTCTTCACACTGATTTGAATGTGATAATGAATGAAAAATGTAAAATTAGTTAAAAAAGCAAATTTTTTTCTGATCATATTTTTGCAAGCGTCAAGAGTTACTGTTTCATTACTGTAGTGAGATTTTGTAAAAATGATAGAATTTCTGAGGCATAATTTAGGCCTTTAACATTTTCAAAAATACAGGATAGCCTTCAAATGCTCTGTTTGTTTAAGGAAGCATAATCTTTGGTGCATTAATGTGTTAAACCCTTCTAAATTTAAAAGGAGTTAACCAGTTACTGCACTAAAGTGAGGAAATGTTGTTAAAGTTTTATGAATGCATGCCAATACAAAATAATTTTGATTTAATCCTTGGAAAACTGTTTACAATGAGAATTTTCAGACATACATATATATTTATGAATATCGCATGTTTTTAAATTTTGCTTTATTTGTGAATATTAACTTGAGAGACATAACATAATTATGTCTCCCAAAATTTTTGGAAGACATATTGCTTTTGCCTAAGTCATCTGTCTGTTCTGCTGCACAAAATGGCCATCAGAGCTATAAATAAAAAGTCTTGTCAGGCTTTCACAGGTAGTATTTCATATATGCGTTTTCAATGAAAGTACACAGGTGTGATCACTACCATCGCGAGAGGTGCATATAGCCGGTACATTCTGCTTCACTGAATAAAATGGCTGCTAGAGCTGTAAATAAAAAAAAAATCTTGTCTGGCTTTCGAAGGTCAAAATGCTCGTGAGATTTTAATGAAACTTTACAGGAGTGGTTAGTGCCATCCCTATTTTTGCATATTGCCGGCATTGTTCTACTTTGCTACACAAAATGGCCGCAAGAGCTATAAATAGAAAACTCTTGTCCAGTTTTCAAAAGTCAAACTGCTGGTGGGATTTTGACTAAAATTCACAGGAGTGATCATTGTGATGATTTGGGAGACTTATGTTTTTGCTGGTGACATAATAAGACAATACATGCATTGGAAGCTGTCAAGCTGGTTTTATATAACTTACCAGTTTGAAGAATGCAATAGATTATTAAAATTTGTTTTGCTTAATTATTAACTGCATTGATATATATGTATATCTTTATAAAAACATTAAAAGAAAAAAATACATCAATATTTAATTTTTTTATTACATTAAGTCACGGCCGCCTATCCCAAAATATAGTAATTAAGCCCTGTCCAAACATACAGTCAGCCCTGTCTCAAGGTTCGTCCTGTCTGTAATCACTGCCTATATACAATTACTAGAAAATACCATTAATTGTCAACAATGTTTAGATCTACCTCATTATCTGGGGAAAATAAACAAACAAGTATGTAGAAATAAAAGTAAACTCACTTATTTATAATATCGATCTAATTCACCATTTGGTTAAATAAAAGTATGTATACAGATTAGACTAGTATTAAATTATAAGTTCTGACTGCCTCCGTGGTCGAAGGGTTAGAGTCGATGACTTCTAATCCAGTTACCTCTCTGGCGTGGGTTCGATCCCCGGGAGATGCTTTGGTAGTTTAGGCGGGGAAAGGTGTCTAGTTGGTGTAACTCTCCGGAAACGAGGTTTAAGAATAAACCCCCCTATATGACTGAAAAATGTTGGGGCCCGTAAAATTTAAAAAATAATAAAAAAGGTATATTTTCCCTATGTTCAGGGGTTCTATAATTTAGTCAGTCAACTTTTTTCTGTGAGCTTAAAAGAACCTTTTTTTGTGCTTTTTTAAAACTTAAAAAATCGCTAGATCTGTCAAAAAATTTTAAGTTTTGAATAGTGTTCATTCTTAAAAAAAACTTTTTTTTAAAATTTATTTGAAAATTTTTCCCTTGTTTTTATTTTTTTTTACACGTAAAAAGAATATTAAAGTGGCCCCAAACTGTGGGTTTCGATTTCGGCTGTTGCGATTATTAAATTTGACATTTTGGGTCTGTTAAAATTTGGTACTTTTTCGTAATATTATCACAGCCTCTTGATTTTGGCTCCACAAAATGTTCCCCCATCTTGGGGATTCGTTCCCAGTCTGTGGGTACCATTTTTTTTACCGATTATTTAAAATTTAAAATTAATGGTCGTGGTAAATTTTTTTCGAAAAATTACGGGGGTTAGAGGGATACAAAAATAGTTTTTTCGCAAAAAAAGTCGGGGGAGGGAAAATGTTTTAAATTTTGAAATAGTGTTTATCTTTTAAAATTAAATTGTTTTTATTTTAAATGTTTGCATTTTTTGAATGTTTTACAGCAAATTAAAAATTTTCAGAAAAAAAATTTTTTTAAAAAATAAAGTTGCTAAATCGCGTGTAAGGGGTTGTAAAAAACTTACTTTCCCTTACTTATTACCCCCTTTAACCCCTTCCCCCCCCCCTTTTGTTGTCTCAAATGATGAAAAAATGCCTTATTTAGGCCCCAAACATTTGTTTTTGTTTGAGAAATGTTGTTAAAAAAGTGACCTCTTTTTCGGCGCGGCCCCCAACCAAAAGATACATCAGGGGGTTGCCAGAAGGGGGATGTCAAGAAAATTTTAGACTTGTGAGAGGCTGTAAATGACCCCAGATTGATCATAAGGTAACGTGTAACCAACGCTGAAAAGCATTTGACTCTATCTCAATCCATTGAGAAGTTAATTGCAGAACTTTGAAATCAATTTTGATGAAAAAAATCAACGCAAAATAGTGATTTTTGGCAATTTTGAGATGTCCCCTCGTTGCCATGGTAACTGTCCTATAACAGTTATTATAAATATTCTTACAATCATATTTGCAATTAAAACGATTTTAATAAAAGTTAAGAACCATTTTTAAATATCTTTTTTTTCGTAGTCGCCACCTTGAGTTATTTTTGCATGCGTTCTTTCTATACTATTTATAATAATCGAACACACTTCCAATATTTCATTTTAAAAACATTTCGTTCCTTATTATTTCAGCCATGCAATTCATTTAATAACAAGAAAAATACGTAGTTTTAATAAATTATACCAAAAATAAATCTTATTTTCGTAGACCCATTCTTATTTTCGCGTCACACGGCGATTTGAGCTATTTTCGTAGGTAGCTATTTTTAGACTCAAACTTCACATTTTTAGATATTTTTTGGTTATGAAAATTCAATATTTTGCTGTAAAATCATTCAAACAATGCATAAATATATAATTAACATAGTTTATTAAATAGATTTATGTACAATTTCAGAAATAAATCTTATTTTCGTAGACGCGATCTTATTTTTTCGCTGAAATAGGTTATTTTCGGTAATCCATCTATATCGAAATGAACCCGGCAATTTTTGTCTTTGATCCATTTTTGGGAATTACCGTGATACTTCTTATGCCGTTTGCTTCTCTGAAATCACCCAAATTGGCAAACAATGGAAATAGTTTAAAAAATGGCATTTTAATTGTATCTTAAGAAATAAATTTTTGACCGACAGTCTGGGAAAAGGATCACTTATCAAGAAGAATAAAAATCTAATTCATGTATGATTTTTTATTAAATTTTTCTGATAAACTTGTATTCCCCGGCCCCTGTATGAGTTCCCGGTTAAAAAATAACCTTGCTCCCGTATCTCCAAAAAAAACAATTTAAAGTTATTGATAAAAAGGGAATAAAGTTTGCAAAAAAAGCCCAATTGTGGGGATTTCAATCCCGTGTTTTAAAAAATAAATAGGGGAATTGTTGGGGGGATAGTTTAAGGGGGTTATGTCCCTTGCAAAATTCCCCTTTGTAATCGAAAATTGAAAAAAAAAAAAGGTTCCTAGTGGGGAACGGTATTTAAAATTTAAATGATTAAAATTTTTATTTAAAAAACTGCTTTCTGCTATAAACACATTTTAAACGTTAAAAATTTTGTGAAAGTTTTGGGCCAAAAACTAGTGGCTTTCAAATTTTGTGAAAATTTAAAAATCCCCTTCCCGGTAACTTTAAGGCCTACAATAAACAAAAATAAAAATGATACCAGTAATAATATTTACCTTGAATGTGCTACATTTCTATTGAATTAAATTTCTTTTTTCATTAGATTCTAATAAAATATTTTTTCACTCAAAATGTTTTTAAGGTGATTCCGTTTTATCAGCCATGTTTGTTTTCACTAAAGTCTGTCCAAAGTGAAAGTAGGTCAAAATTCATATAACAACAAAGGTCTTATTGTAAACTGATGAACCATTTGAAAGTACACCTCCTTGTTTATATTTTAAGGACAATTATAAACAAAAATAAATTTCTGAAGACCAAAAATATTCTGTTGCACATTTCATGATGGCAAAATCCTTTTTAAAGTCTGTTTTAGTGCCAACAAAAGCTATTTTTTTACAGCAAATACAAAAATCTTTCAAAACTTAACTCCAAATAAATCAGTATCTCATGTCCTTCTAAGCACATGGCCTCCATTATTTTTTGTAAAAAAGTAGTGCAAGAAAACAATCATCATTTATAGCCTTATGAACTACAATTAACATGAAAGCACAATCAAACTTTAAAATCTAACCTTTTTATGTGTAACAGTGAAGTGTGTCTGTTTGTCATGTACACAAGAAATTGATTTTATAAGTGAAAAAAAGTGGGCGTAGTCATTTTCATGTATACTATCCAAGCCACGCACTAACTGCCTGTGGTTTGGCACAATAAAATTAAACAATAATTTTGGTCCCTTACCTAATATAATTGTATGCCACCATATGTTATGGTAATCGAATGAAGTAACAAATAAAATAAAATGCTAAAATGTGAAAAAAAGCAGTAAAGATTAAGAAGTTGTCATAATTCTCAGTAATTGATGAAAAAATAAACACAATTGGTTAATTGAACTTAATTCATTATTATTGTTTAGTTTTTTTCTGATGATCATTTTAAACAGACCTGGTTGTCATGTTTGGCTCTGCTTTACAATGTGTAATTCTTTGAGCTTTGGTTAATTAATTCATTAGACAAAATGGCGGAAATGGATAAATCTTGTGCAAGTGATTTTGGATCTGGATTAGAAAATTTTCTATTTTTAGCTTGACTTTTCGCAGAATTATGAATAATCGAGCTTATGCAGTCACCCATTTGTCGGCGTCGTCGTCCCTGTGGTTTAGTTTTTGCATGTAAGCTGGTATCTCCATAACTACTGGAGGGAATGGATTGAAACTTCACACACTTGTTCTCTGTGATTATCTAAGATGATTGGCACAAGTCCCATAACTCTGATTTGCTTTTTACATAATTATGCCCCTTTTTCGACTTAGAAATTCTTGGTTAAGTTTTTGGGTGTAAGCTAGTATCTCCATAACTACTTAAGTGAATGGATTGAAACTTAAAACATTTGTTCTCTGTGATAATCTCAGATGATTGGCACAAGTCTCATACCTCTGATTTGCTTTTTTACATAATTATGCCCCTTTTTCGACTTAGAAATTCTTGGTTAAGCAGGGCTCTCGATTGACACGGGGATCCGGGTTTTGACTCGTGAAAATCGGGAAATGCACAAATTTGACACGTGATAAAATCTGCTCAAGAGTCAATTTGCCACATGGGATTTTCAGCTATGCAATAATAATTACCTTAAATCCACCCTAATTATCTATCAAATCCTACATATGTTTAAATCACACTCATTAAAAATGTCAACAGGCAGTATTAGCCATGTATAAAATGCTTTACACATAGTCTGTGCACTGAAGCGGGACAATTCAGTGGCTGCAATTTGACAGCGCTAAAAATAGCTCTACACAACTGATAAGAATTACATACTTGAGGTGTCAATTATTGATTGCTTTTAAAGGTTTATAATACGTCTTTGATTTACTTGGAGTACCTGTGCATTTGTTATTTCTTTTTCCATTAAATATTCCTGGTACATTTGGGTATTTAAAATTAATATGATATAGCATACCAGTAAAGATAATTTTTTTTATATATTTTATACATTTAATCAGAAAAGCTGCTGCTTATTTTATTCTTTTACAGCAATTCATTTTTTGTTTTATTTGTTTTTTGTTTGTTTTTTCTTTTAGGTGGAGGGGGTATAGACATTTATAATTAAGCATTTTTTTCTGTCAATTTAGACTTTGGAATCTCCAAAAATGACCTCCAATACAGTCATTTTTGTAACATAAAAATGATTCATGTAGTCAAATGAC